TCTCTCTAAATAAATAAATAAAATCTTTAAAAAATTGATAAAATGTCACATCCATAACATCATTTACATAAAAAGTTGCAAATAGAACACAGTACCATACATTAGCTATCGAGACATGTGTATGTAGAAGTATAAATATACTTTATACTTATATATATAAGTATAATATAATATAAGTATATATAAATATACTTATAAAGGACAAACGAGTATGATCCTTAAAATCCTCAAAATATTGGCTCCCTCTGAAGGACAGAGGGAGGGGGACTGAGGCTGGGAGCCGAAAAATGTAAATGGAGCTTTATGTGTAATGTTTCCACTTCTCGATCAAACAGAGCAGCTGCAGCAGATGCTGAACTATTTACATTCGTTCATGGTAAACGGTGGCCATTCGTTGTATAACTTTGTGGACTTCACCACTTAATAAGGGGGTTTCATAACCCCATCACCTTTACAACTGAATAAATACGATGCAGCCTCAGAGCTCATGTTAATTACCGTTGCGTGTCTCGTGCACACTTGCCTTTTCTAACCCCAAGAAGAAAGACCCAGTATTCTGTCTCATTGCAGTGAAACTTTTATGCCAATCAATGGTTGTGCCGATTTCTGGTTAAATCTGCTGGGATACAAAAATGATGATATTGGGAGACCTCAGAGGACCCAGAGCCCACCAGGAAAGAAGCTGGATTAAAATCTGAGCAGGCGATGAGGTTATCTTGAATTTGCCCTGAATGTTGATTCTTTCCCTGCAGTTATGGCACCACCTTCTCCCCGCCAACTCCCTGATGGGTGTGTGGGGTGGGGGTTGGAAGGGGTAAGGAAGGTGTCAGTGCCCGGCTCTCTAGCACTCTTTCCTCTGCTGTCAGTCCCTGAAGGAGTCCTTGTCCCCGCTCTGCCCTCCCACTGGAAGGAAGCTTGTGCTTTCCTCTTGGCCCCGAAATGTCCATCTGACACAGCTTCTGGGACTGGAAATTCTCAGTACTTCAGACAAACCAATGTCATTTACAGCAAGGCAGGCTTTTTCTCTGTATTCTAGCAAGTCCACCTACTTTGATCGCAAACACTAGTAATGATGTCCCACTCCCGGTTCCACAGAAGAATGGTTTTCTTCATTTCATTTCAAGTTGGAGAAAGAGAATCAACTGATTTGTTTTAAAATATTTCCTAATTTCCTGTAAGTTGCAAAAACAAAAGCAACAAGTGCATTGCGTTTACATAAGCTAGCTTCGCCTGGGGTTTGCCCAAAGTTAGTCATAGGTATTTGAAAGTATAGTATGAGTTCAAAAACTAGCAATGGAAATGGCTTATCCTAGGATAATTATTCTTAGATGTCTGCATTAAAAGTGTTCTCAGGCCTTAGCAACTCCTATATGAATACTTGCTTTTATTCCTTTCCTGTTTTCTATTCCAGAAGACGATGGAAGGGCTTCAGAGGGGCAGATACGGAACGATGGCTGAAGGTAAGGAAGCCTGGACGTTCTCAGGAGCTCCAGGCACCGGGGAGAGTCGCCGTTCTCTCTCCATCGACCCCCACCTCAAACACAGGGATAGAAACCCTGTTATTTTAAAGTGAAGAAGAGGGGCGTCTGGGTGGCTCAGTCGGTTGAGCGTCTGACTCTTGGTTTCAGCTCGGGTCATGATCTCAGGGTCCTGGGATCGAGCCCCGGGTCATGCTCCATGCTCGGTACGGAGTCTCCTTCATATTCTCTCTGTCTCCTACCCCTCATAATCATGCTATTTCTCTCTCTCTCTCTAAAATAAATAAATAAAATCTTTAAAAAAATAATTAAAATTAAAAAAAGTGAAGAAGAAAGAGGCAAAAATCACTTGTTCTCTACCTTCCCTGTGGTCATCACCCCATCTACTGTCACCACACGTGATTGGTGGGAAATGTGGAAGTGAAACTCCCAAGTCAGAGTCCGAAGGATTTGGAACCCGACTGTGAAAACAATTTCTCTTTCCTGGTCTGCTCCCAACTGGAAAGAGGAAAAGTTCCCGTAGAGATTTAGGAATCATGCTTGTTACCAATACTTAAGGAAAGGAAGTACCAACACAGAGTAGAAGGACTATAAAGTAAGAGATTTTAGGAGGCTGAAATGAACTTAATTCATTTGAACTCATAAGAACTCTAAAAGTCCTGGGGTTCTCACCCGTCTTCATCCCTTGAAGATTTTACTCTCTGCTCAGTGTCACCCTCCCCAGCGCCATTCTATAGTCATCTCCTGCGATTCGGTCGGCCAGATCCCTCCAACCCCTGTGCTTCTAATTCTCCCCACTCTTCCCCAGCCTCCCATCCCGGGGCATCTCCCAGACTTTGTCCTTGACATTCACGATCTTCTGTCATCTCAGTTTTTAAGATCCAAGTGCCCACCCCAAGAGCAGAGACCCGGGACATTCAGCTGGTCCTTGGTGGGAGGTCACTGCTCCTCTGACCTCTGAGATGTCCTTTTCCCCTGAGGTTCGGATGCATGTGTTGAGCGCCGCGGTGGGGGTATGATGGGGATGTGGGGGTGGAAAAGAGGGGATAATATTTTCTCATTTGTGGCTTCTCGTCCCCTGCCTCCTTCTAAACTTCTATTTATTTAGCATGAAATTGGCCAAAGCACCATCTGTGGAAAAGCATGGGGACCACAGTCCTTTTCCCCAAAAAGCCCTGTTTTCCCTGCTCTCGAGGACGTGCTTGGAGATCCTAGGGCGCTTCCTCCCTGGGCTGTGGGTCCAAGCATGAGCTTCCAACGTAGGTTTTCTATGACCCACGGGCATCCGAAAGTTGTACACAAACTTTCGTATGTATTTAGATAGGATTGATTTTGGGGACGGAGGTCCATGAGTTTCATGAGATATCATGAAGGTCCAAGACCCGAAAACCTTAAGAATCACTAACTTAGTGAGACACAAAAAATTGTTTTTATAGGCAGAGAGGAAGATAACTGGTTTGCAACGTCCACCTCACTGAGGATCGTCCTGGTGGGCAAGACAGGCGCTGGGAAGAGTGCCACAGGGAACAGCATTCTCCGCCAGCCAGTGTTTGAGTCGAGGCTGGGGACCCAGCCCGTGACCAAAACCTGCCAGGGCGAGACAGGGACCTGGAACGGAAGGAAAATCCTGGTAGTTGACACGCCCTCCATCTTTGAGGCAGAGGCTCAGACCCAAGAGATGCACAAGGACATCGGGGACTGCTACCTGCTCTCTGCCCCGGGGCCCCATGTACTGCTGCTGGTGACCCAGCTGGGGCGCTTCACTGCCCAGGACACGGTGGCCGTGAGGAGGGTGAAGGAGGTCTTCGGGGCAGGAGCCATGAAGCACGTGGTGGTCCTCTTCACCCACAAGGAGGACCTGGACGGCGAGTCCTTGCACGATTACATCACACACACGGAAAACCAGAGCCTGAGGAGCCTGGTGGGGGAGTGTGGGAGGAGGTACTGTGGCTTCAACAACATGGCCACCGGGGAGGAGCAGAAGGCGCAGCTGGTCGAGCTGATGGCTGTGGTGGGGAGGCTGGAGAGGGAGAACGAGGGCGCCTTCCACAGCAATGACCTCTTCTTTGAAGCCCAGAGGCTGCAGCGAGGAGGGGGCTGCGCCCGCGGGGAAGAGCACAGGCGCTACCTGGACAGGGTGCGGGCGCAGCTGGCAAAGCAAAGGCGACAGCTGAGAGACCCCAGGAGTAACTGGGCCTGCGGGGCGCTGCTCAGAGTCACAAGATGGATGTTTTCTTGCAGTGGGATAACTGTTGTCCTCATTATATGCATTTTGATTTTTCTTGCCACTTTAATTAACTTGTGTATTACTCATGGACACTGAGCGTTTTCAGTGATTTCCGCAATCAGCTGACTTATGTTTTCAGAGTCGCCATCTCTGTGTCAGATTCTTTGTTTTTTACATGATTTCACGTTCTTTTGCTCTTCGTCACATCAGACATACTGTCGATTTTCTTCAAGTGCTCTTAGTTCAATAAAATCCAAAGGAAAAATTATTTTTCTTTTTTTGTTTTGTTAAAAATTGTGATGGTACACGAGAAACTAACTGTCCGGAAATGTTTGGGGACGTGCTGGGAGGCAGGTGGTGGGTGGTGAAGCTGTGGGGATGTCCCACCTCTGGTCCCACCTTTGTGCCATCAGGCTGTTGAGGGGAGACAGGTGTTTTATGAAAAGCCGGTGGCAGATTCCTTATTTCATTCAGAAACCTACCTGATTTCATCAGAGTTAGTCATAAGAGCTGATGCCCACCCCCAACCCCACCCCTGTGAGAGAGAATGATGAGGATGGGGGTGGGGGAGAGGCCCCGAGGTGAGAACTGGGGAACAGGTGCAGGAGGGGGCCTACCATGGTGGGGAAGCAAGAAAGGGGTCAGTGCAACAGGGTGGGGGGCCGAGCCTTAGCAAAAGCAGTCACTGGGAAATTCTCAGTGGTCGGGAAATAAAGGAACTATAATTTCTTAGAGCGGGAGTGGCAGCGCCGGATAGTGAATATTTAGGCTTAAAAATGGTCTATAGTTGGGGCGCCTGGGTGGCTCAGTCAGTTAAGCATCTGCCTTCAGCTCAGGTCAGGATCTCAGGTCCTGGGATCGAGCCCTGGGTCAGGCTCCCTGATCAGCGGGGAGTCTGCTTCGCCTTCTCCCTCTGCCCTCCCCCCTGCTCATGCTCTCTATCTCGGGCTCTCCCTCTCTTTCTCTCAAATGAATAAATAAAAAATCTTTTAAGAAAATGTCTCCAGTCTACTCAACTCTGCCTTGTCAGTGCAAAAGCCGCCACAAACGCTTTCCCATAAAGCCTGACAAACGGTGACCTTTGAATTTCATGTAACTTTCATATGTGGCCATGAAACATTATTCTTCCTTTGATGTCTTCAACTTTTTTAAACTGCGAACAGCTTTCGCACCCCACAGGCTCTATAAAACCCGCCGCAGACCACACTGGGTTCATCTGGGGGTGTATTTCTTGTTTTCGAGCTGCATCCTACCTAATGCAACATCTGAACCTCAAACCCAGTACCATCCAGTTCAATCATGTGTGCTTTCTGTGAGAATCTGGGGAAAGGGTCCTGCCAGACATTTCAGTGGTAGTAAAGAGAAGAGGGCAAACCTTGGAGTATAATCTGAACAGAGGTCATGAATTCACTGGAAATAGTAAATCAGATGAGAGGGTCTTTGGTGGCCCCGCCCCTGACTTCTTCCTTTTGGCAGCTGCCCCGCCCCTTCCTTCTCTGCTTCTTAGTAGGTTGTAAGGGAGACCTGCAGTCATGCAAGGTAGCCTGGGGCTGGATGGGTAAATGCCTAATTCTGGGGTGAGTCTTAGGAACTTGATGTGACACCCAAGTGTCAATCTCCAAACCTCTATTGGTGACAAAGGCACCATGTTGACCTTTACAGCTGTATCACGTAACTGACTCCAGACATGTTCAAGGAGTGTTACACACAATGAATCACGGGACACTACATCAAAAACTAATGATATAATGTATGGTGACTAACATAACATAATTAAATAAAATTTAAAAAAAAAAGAAGGAAAGATCAAATGTCCAGACTGACACAGATGTTACTGGTAGACCTGGGATGAGAGGGACAGAGAGACAGAGATAGAGGGAGACAGGGGAAGAGAGAGAGAGAGAACAAGCCCTGTTGCCTGGTGGATCCTGGAATATCTTGCAAGTTCTGCAGACCATCTCTGACCAATCTTCCCCTCCTCTCCTATGCAGCCTCTCTCGTTGGCTTCTGGTCTCTTCACACACACACACACACACACACACGCAGTGAGAGATGAAAAAACTAGCCACAAATTCTGTGGAGGGAGGAGAGGTGTTAGACCGTGTCCCTGGGGACAGGAATAACAGTTGTGTTTCCTCAAAAAGACATCCTTGGGGTGATCCAGAAACCCTGGGAGATGCCAGAGAAGAAGGGATTTTTGTCTTCTGCTTTTGTTAACAGCTCCATTTCTTTCTCCCTACCACATCTTTGCAATGGTTTTGCGCAAAACAAGTTCTCTACCTGAGATAGTCGGGAGAATGCAGACCCAGAGAAGCCAATGAACATCTGGGGCATCCCAAACCAGGCCATCCGCTGCCTTTCCCTGGACCCAAATCTGGTGGTTCTGGAAGAAATAAAGGTTTCAAACTGCACATGCATCTCCCCATCCCCGCCATGAGCCTCTCCGGCATAAAGATAGTTTCTTATACGTAATTCCAGATGGCGGCAAAGGCTGAGCTTGAGGCAGGTGTCTTGCTGAGATGGTCTCTGGCTCTGCTCTCCTTCTTATTTCTCTGCATATACCCTGCCCTTGGATTACCCATGATCTGACCTCAGGGGGAAACAAGGTTGAGTAGGTGTCTTCCCCAGATGGACTTGCACTTCCACAGAACCCAGGGAGACATCCATCCCAACCCACAGTGTGATTTAGGCGAAGCGACAGGCACTGAAGGGGGGTGCCTCTCAGTGCCCGGTTAATGCCCCTCCTCTGCCTGAATGTACTAGCTCTGCTGAGGAGCACCTGCGTCCAAGGGGTTGAAACACCTCTCTGAAGACATCCTCAGGGTGAGTGGGGCAGTGTTCCTTCCTTCACATGTTTGAGTTCAGACTAATTCTTGAAGAACATCTATAAGCAGAAAAGTGAGATACAGGTAATTCTTGGTTCTTTGCTTAGTTGAGAGAGGAGGGCAATTGTAACACAGATAACGCAATTCACATTTTGCAATGAAAACCATGCTGGACTTATAAAATACTCTCCCATATTAATACTGTAATTTTCACTTTTCAAATAGTAATGCCTATTACACTGAATGAGGTGGATGTCTGCCCTCTTGCTGTGGAGGACAGAAAAGCATGTGTCTAATACATAGAAGACATCATTTTCCATCACCAGTTAGAAATGCCTCTCATATCTAGTTTTTGCCAGGGGGACAAAAAAGACGGCTAAAGATCAGCTCCTCCAAAAAATAATTATTTTTAATAGACATTTATCAGCTCGAAACTTTTTCATGAATTTTATTTTATTTTTATGCCTGAATCAACTCACTGAACTGTCTCAGCATATATTTTGTAAGCAGTTGATATACAAGGAAGGGACATTGCTTGAAAGTGTCAAATCCATGCAAGCCTTATGAGATTTTCATGGTCGAGGTGAACATGTAGTTTTATGTGCTATAAGCTACCCAGGCTAATACTCCTGTGTCCCCACCATAGAGAGAAGACTGGATCTTGATCAGCCTACTTTCTGTGCATTAAAGAAAATACCAATTAATCATTGAAAAAAAGAATCTTTTTTTTAAAAGATTTTATTTATTTATTTGACAGAGAGAGATAATGAGAGCAGGAACACAAGCAGGGGGAGTGGGAGAGGGAGGAGCAGGCTTCCCACCGAGCAGGGAGCCCAATGCGGGGCTCAATCCCAGGACCCTGGGATCATGACCTGAGCCGAAGGCAGATGCTTAGCTGACTGAGCCACCCAGGCGCCCCCTTTATTTATGATTCAAGAAAGCAAAATATCACCCACTCTCTGTTACACCTGCTAACAATCCTTCTCTGCCCCTTTCTTTTTTTCACTCAGAGTTTATAACCATTCGGTCTCCTCTTTTCCCTCAGCATTAACTCGTGGAATTGCAGTAACAGCCCTTCAAAACACAGGTGCTTCCAACCACTGGTGAAAGAAATGTCAACAATAGAGATGGGGGGAAATTGCTCCTTTTCTCCTACAGCTACAGAGAAAAACAGCAAATATTGGTCCTACAAAGGAGTCTGTGAGCTATTCAGTGTTTGAAACTTGGAACTCTGTCCTGTGTTTCTTCTCTAAAAGTCTGTAGAATTATGTTTGTCATTCTTAATAATGTGTTTCTCTACTCATGAGATGTACATGGAAATCTAATAATTCCTATTAGATCTAAATACAAGTTTTCTTAGACAAATTCAAAGGAGATCCCTGATACTTCCCTCTTCTACTACAGGCATGCAGGTAATAAAATAAAACAAAATATAATAATCAAAGAGTTTGGGAATCTCATCTGGTTTAAATCACAGTGTGCTAAGTAAGATAGGACTGCCAAATGTTGTCAGATGTCTTGCAAATATCACCCCCCGGGTGTTTGTCTTAAGTTAGTTATGGTATATTTTAGCTAAGCCTGGAAATTTCAACAAATGTTTTCTTTATGGCTTCTGTCATTCTTAGAAAGCCCCCCCCTTACTGCCTTTATTTAAAAATATATTACTTATGTCCACATGAAAGTCTGCACACAAATATTTATAGCAGCTTTATTCTTAATTGCCAAAATGTGGGGAAAAAAGATATCTTTCAATAAATGAATAGATAAATAAACAGTGGTACATCAGATAATGGAATATTATCTGAGTGTTAAAAAGAAATGAACTCTCGAGCTATGAAAAGACATGAAGGAAACTTAAACGCGTATTTCTAAGTGAAATAAACCCATCTGAAAAGGCTATGTACTGTGTGATTCCAACTCTATGACTTTCTGGGGACGGTAAAATATCAGTGGGTTGCCAGGGTTTGGGGGGATGGACTCATAGGTGGAGCAGAATGAGCCACCCAGGTGCCCCTGGAGTTTCCCTTTTTTGGGATGTTCTAGAGTATGGATTTAATTTCCTTAAGAGACATAGGACTATATGGGGGCACATCAAAAGGACACAGAGGCAACCTGAAAGAGTCCCCAGTGGCCAAAGCCTTCTTTTTATAAAAATATTCCAGCTAATAAACACAGAGGAATGATGAAGTATTATCATTTTGCAACCCCTAATAAATGAATGGATCTAGGCAATGATCATCAATGATTACTAGGTATCACTAAAAGAGACACAACTGGGCATCATATGCCTCCAGACAGAAGTGTATACACTTCTTATAAGTTGCAGTGTATGGATC